TGGCTAAAGTCTTCTTGGACCTTCTAAACACTTTTTAATTACGTGAATGCCATCGTCTTCAATACCTTCAACCACCATGAACAACCATGAAAATGGAATAAATGCTTATCAACCAGTTTTAAAGCTGTAATAAAACAAATATCTAAGCTCATTCACTCATAACCTTGCTCATTCTATCATAATTTCTTCTCCAAAACATCTGGGCAAAGTTACAATGCTTCGCGCCATGCTTTTTCGGTGAATTCTGGTTTACTCGACACCTGGGTTGTTTAATTTCGGTGAAATCCTAAGTTCTGGGTGGATAAGAGAAACTTAGGGGAGCTCAATTTTGTTAAAGGTAATCCTCGCACTTCAATTTCTCCACATTTCAGTTTTTATATCGCGAAAGTAGACTTCTCGTGAACTATACTGAAGTCTATGAGTCAACATAAGGTTATTTTTGCAATTGACTTTTAAAAAGTAGACTTCATTAAACCTCAGAGAAGTGTACTCGATATCCTTTGAAAACAAAAAAAAAATAGTAGAATTCATTTGAAGGCTTAAGAAGTCTACGAAAAAAAGAGGTTATTTTTGTAGTTGACCGTATTTTGACTTTTGGATTTAGACTTCATTATGAAGTCTACTTGTTTCGTCTGCATACGAAGTCTACTTTCAGGTTACTTTTGTAGTTTGACCAAAAACGTAAAGGTCATTTTTGTATTTGACTTCTGTTTTTCAAAAATTAAAAAATTTAAAAAATTCCAAAAAGCTTCAGTAGACTTCACAAAGAAGTTTAGACTTCTCTGGGAAGTCTACTTATTGTGTTCGGTCAAACTTAGAAGGAATATTTTTTTGAGTAGACTTCATTGTGAAGTCTACTAAAAAATTCAATTGCAAAAATAACCTATTTTGTTCCGTGGACTTCTATTTAAAAAGTAGACTTCAAAAGTAGACTGTCAGAGAAGTCTACTCTTACATGAAGTCTACAATAGAAGTCTACTATGTTAGTCAATGCATTGGTCAATTGTTAAAGTAACCTTTTTTGCCTGAAGTCTACTCCTGAAGTCTACTGAAGCAAAAGTCAACAGATTGGTCAATTGCAAAAATAACCTTTTTTTTAGTAGACTTCATTTGTAGACTTCTCAATGAAAAAGTAGACTTCTCCTCCAGTCTACATTTGAAGTCTAATGTAGAAGTCTATTTTACTATGGTTTTTTAAAAACGCGTTTTAAGGAAATGTATAAACTATTTTTCAAATTTTTTGGTTCAGAATTGCTTCTTAGTAAGTGATTGAACTATCCAGTGAATTTTATCTCATTTCATTGGATATTTATTGCTGAATCAGAAGTTTCGATTTTTAAGGTACTTAGCTTATCAAAGTAGACTTCGTCGTGAAGTCTACATTCTAAGTCTGCAATAGAAGTCTACGTTTTGACGTTTTTGTAAAAACGCGTTTTAAGCAAATTTATAAATTATTTTTCAATTGTTTTTGTTTATAATTGTTTCTTAGTTAGTGATTGAACTACCTAGTGATTTTTATTCCGTTTCATTGAATATTTATTGTTGAATCAGAAGTTTCGATTTTTAAGGTACTAAGCTTATCAAAGTAGACTTCGTCGTGAAGTCTACTTTTATACAAAAAGTCTCTATGCGGTGTTTGCTAATACGGTTTATATGGTTTTTTTTTAAGAGAATGGCTCAAATTCCAGTTGTGTACGGTGAGTGGAAGTTTAAGGAGAATTCATGGCATTTTGTTATAGTACACAAGCAATTAAAGTGACATAAGCTAATTTTAAAACATTGTCGTGGACACACTTGGTAAGAGACAATATTCGCAAGTATTTTGTTATGTGCATTCAAGAGTTTCGATCATTTTTACGGCTTATTATCATATCCCTTAAAAAAAAAACTAAGAAGATCTCCATATAATAACATCAATTTGCATTACATGATGAACATGGTTTACAGATCAACGATGGATCTATAAATTGTTGAAATTCATTCTTACAAAACAAATAGAACTGAAGATTTGAAATTCATGGTTACAAAACCTAACCAGACGTAGAATCAAATAAAGTAGGTGCCTAAAGACAAAACATAAACTTCCAATATCAAAGTTTATTCCCGATTACAAAATCACTACTTTGACGATTTAACTATTTGAAGAAGCCTTTATGAACCAGTTCATAAGAGTTCCCAACAAACATTACGTGGGGGTGACTTGAATGTTATCCATGGCATTTTGAAACCCACAGAAAGCACGAGCCTAAAAAATCCAAACAGAGAGTGTCGGCTTCATGATATTTCATGGCCCAGCATATTTCACACTTTTCAAGCAACATATAGCTAAGTGAAATCCTCACCTCTGGAACTTGGACATCATTCAAGAATCTAGCAACCAAATTCTCCAAAACAATTCCATCTGATGCGGCAAAAACGCAAGAACATGGTTCTTCTTACAATGTTTGGATATTTGGTGCTAGGAGCAGAGACAAGAGCAGCAGTGTGTACCAAATGGTAAAGAGAAGCCGTTTGCCACACCTGAAAGATCATAACTTTTTTAAGACAAATCAAAACTAAATCCAACAAAAAATGAAAAACTAAGATAGCTGAATGTAAAAAAGCAACCAAATTCAGAATCTTTGACCTGTTTGTAAGAAGGGTTCTCTGGCTTAAAGACATGAGCCCCATAAGTTCCTAAACCAAGAGCAGCCATACCTACAGTAGACATAATCAGTCTCTACCTTCCTTACAACAATCAAATCAGAGACATTTCTTCTTACCCGAAACGGCAGCGACTTTGTGCCATATCCTAGGATCCATCGATCGTCTTCCTCTGACCTCTCTTAACCTAAGCCCAAAACCTAAGCAAATACGAGTTTGAATGACATTACAATCCTACACAACTAAAAGAAGAAGCTTTACATTTACAAAGTCGCAGAAAATAAACTGAAATACTCTGCAGATTTTGTCTCTTTTCGATGGCTACTTACATTTTAAGAGTCAAAAGCTCAGGATCTCCAGGTCCTGTCCCAACTAAATACACAACTCCTGGTCCACAATCACCGCTTCTGCATCCTTAGAAACCGCACCAAACAAAATGAGATTCCATCTGAAACACCCAAAAACCATAAATCCATTTCATAAATAAAGATCTGCAAGAAGAAAATACAAAGAAGGAAGATAATTGCATGTCGTTTTCCCTAACGAAGACTTCATCTGCTAAGAACAGTAGATGAAATGAAGATTCAACCTCAAACAAAAACTATCGAATATAACAAATCATCAAGAGATTCAAAGTGATTCACATCAAATCCAATAAAAAAAGAGTGAACAATAAAAAAAAGCTAGAAGAGAAGAAATCAAAACAAATCAAAACTGAGTTGATACCTGAAAGTTGTGGAATCACGCTTAGAGATCTTTTCACCAACGGATCTGGCGAAGTTGGAGGCTGTTCGACAGAAAGAGCGACATCCAACGGTGCGAGAAGAGTCAGATAAGTCTAGCTGGATGGTGAGAAAAGAGGCGAGAGAGGGGAGCACGAGCGGCGAGAGAAGCGAACGAGCGTCGAGCGATGCGCCGTTTAGGAAAGAGGGGAGAGTTTTCTTTTTCACTAAAAAATTAGGGTTACAACTATATATATGAGACAAAAAAATTTTGGTTAAGATATTATTTTTGGTTTAATTTTGGTTTAAATTGCGATTAGGTTAATTTATTCGGTTTAGCAGACTTCAATATAGAAGGCTACAACTTTTAAAACCTAAATAATAAATTTTCTTCTACTTAATTTAAAAACATAAATTTCCATTTAGCAATATGAAAAAATAATTTTTGTACATTTGGGTTACGATTACGGAATTTATGAATGTAAATTTGATACCAAAATAATATTTTCTAAATTTTAAAATTAAATTTCCAGATTTAATTACTTAGTAGACTTCATTTCGATAAAAGAAGACTACTATTAGACTTCTTTCTCTCTTTAGTAGACTTCGTCAGGGTGTAAACGGTAATTAGGACATCCGTTTTTTGTTTATTCATACATGATTAAATGGTCTTTTCACTACTCCTTTAGGTTATTTCTGCCAAATGTTTTTTCAGGGATTTACTTTTGTATTCAAAATCAAGTTTTAGGTTATTTTTAGCAAAAACCCCAAAAAACAAATCCCCTAAAGTCCCAAATCAATAAACCCTAAAATGTCTATGGTCTTATGTAAATCAGCCTGTGTTTATGTTTTAATATATTGAATAGGTAGTGGTAATGGTCAAACAAAATAGGAACAAGACTATAAGCCTTAGACTACACAATTCCCAACTCATTCCTCCAAGGCAAAAACCCATGTTACAAGGTATACAAATTTTACAAATGAATTAAACGTTTTAAAAAACACTAAACGATGAAACATTCAACTATACAACGAGTGACTAAACAAAATAAAACCAAGACAAAATTTTGAGCAATGCCCGAAACAAGATTTGCCAAAAACGTGAGAAACTATTCGCCAAACTAACAAATTCTCTATACCTAGACAATTTCAACTTGAAACATTTTCATCAGTTCAATTCTGAATCGATCTTCTTCTCGGACAAGAAGCCCAAAGCAAAATTCTATAACAATAACGAGAAGAATCTCAAATCTCAGGGGAACAAAACCCGAAAATGGAAATCAGCGTATGTATATGTCAAAGATCGATGGCTAAGAACAACCTTTTAGAAAAATCTTCGCAGGCGACAAGGGTTAGTAAAAAACATTATAAAAAAAAAAAACATAAAAATACCCTAATAAACAAGATTTCCGAAATCTTTTTATGGAAAACATTCAATAATAATAGTGAAAGAAATATATTAAGAAATTTTAGGAGCCTTTGGAAGCTAGAGAAATATTGAAACATGAAATTGATTATGATGAGATTTGATTATCTGATTAGCTTGTCCAACTCAATTTCTTTCTATAAACATCCACAATAAAAAATGATTTAGGAACAGATTTAATTGAGATTACTTAAAATAAAATAAAACGTACGGAAACAAATAACTCCTTTTCTTATAGGCTTACCGCTAACGAGTGACAGGCTTATAGCCAAACAGAACACAAAAATAATCATAATCCAAACTAAAAGCTCTTCTTAGTCCATTGTGTTCTGTTTGGCCGAGTCAAACAAAGTTAATTATTCACCTTTGAGTCATTTTTTGCTTTTCTTGCCAAAGCTTCAAAAATGTTAAAACTTTAAGATCTTTGACGTTCTACGAAAGCTAGGGACTTCATTGTTTTTAAACCTCTGTTTCTCTTGTTCCTTATAAGCTCTAAAAGCTCGCACCTTTCATAGTACACAATATATAATCCAACCTAAAGAGAAGAGTGAAGGAGATGGAGCTTTTTAGTAACCTCTCCAATTTGGACTAGAGATTGGGAGAATCCCAGATGGTGATGATGGGGACACAAGATCAGGAGACGCAGGAGGCTGAGGAAATGTTCCTGGCCCGAGAATTCCAGGTTGATCCATTGATGAGACGGTGAAGCTTCTTGGTGATAGCAGCGGATAAGGTGATCTAGTGGAGAGCAAATTCCGGTTAGCCGTTGGAGATTGTAGAAGATATTGGGACGTAGGAGAGGGTAATATCCCACGACCGTTGAATCTAGGAGAAGGAAGACTATTACTATGCAACTGTTGTGGTCTTTGTGGAGGACCATTGAACCTTGGAGATGGCAAAATAGGCGTATCTCGTGAAGAACCATTGAACCGTGGCGAATGATGACTATACAAAGAGACAGGACACTCAGCTGACCAAAACTGATCTCCATGACCCACCATTGATTGTGAACCGTGTGGCAAAGGATGCATTGGTGGTCTAGCTAAGTTATGAGTTGGTTGAGCCATGACAGGAGGAGGAACATTAGCCGCTGGTCTAATTTTCTGCAATCGGTTATTCTGTTGGTGTAAAGGACTCTTCTTTATGTTCTTCCCAATCTTATTCACACCTAACTGATGCTGAGACCTATCCATCTCATATGAAGACTAAAACCCAAATTTCTAATTTAAAACCACAAAGATTGATACCAATCGAGAGAACTGATCTTAAAGCTCAAGCTTCAACGAGAAACAGAGTAAAGCAACACCTTTAGTATTGGAGAATATCCTGAATTCAGCTAAAAATCCACTCTTTCACAACTATGACTCGTAAATTAGTGCCCTTGATCCAATTATGCATCTAAAATCAAAAGAGAAAGTGTTCCTAATTTAATAATCTAAAAAATAAAGATCCTCGATTCCAGAGCTAATTTATTCTCTATTAAACAAAAAAAAAAATACACACGACGCCTTGCCTTGATCGAATTCGATCGAACACCAACACATAATAGATTACTAATATGAAGAAGAAGAGCAAGAAAAATCAAGCCTTTGCACCTGAGGAAAATCAAGAATATCCCAAAACCGTGAAATTGGGGTCAGAGCTCTCCGATTTCCAGCAAAACACGATTCAGAGAGAAAGAAGAATTGAAGAAAGACCTAATTTTGGTCACAGAAGTTTTATTAAAAACGCAAAGAAAAATGTATATATTGGGGTGAGAGAGGCTCGAAAGACCTAATTTTGGTCACTGAAGTTTTTATTTAAAATGCAAATAAAAATGTTTATATTGGGGTGGGAGAGGCTCGAAAGACCTAATTTTGGTCACTGAAGTTTTTATTTAAAATGCAAATAAAAATGTTTATATTGGGGTGAGAGAGGCTCGAACTCTCGACCTCAGGATCACTCAACTTTAGCTATGAGACCTACGCGCTAGCCAACTGCGCCACCACCCCAATTTTGTTAGTTGAGAACACAATTATTTAGTTATCTAAATCTTCCCGACAAGGTTCCATCAAATTTTGTGCAAGAAAGAGACTTTAACCGATTCACAGACCAAACCTCTCTTTCTCTTGAAGCTCTCGACCAAGCAGAGAACGGAATCGCTACTTTAGTTTCTCTGTTCACCGAAGTACATCATAACATTTCAAAGGTATGACCTTTATAGATTTTAATTTCCTTTTTTTAGTGCCATTTCTCATCTCGCAGATCAATCGCCGAAATTAGTATTTTTGGGTTTAGACTCTGAAAATCCACACCAATCTTCGAATGAATCGTTTCCAAAAACTGAATTGGAGGATCCTTGAGTATCGAACTTCTCTGTTTTGTCAACTGTAAAAAATGGGTTTTTAGAAAAAAACCAATCTTTCTATTTCTATTCAATCGATTTGCATATGTTGATTCTTTGGAAGAGTTTTTTATTTTATTTGGCAGCCCTAATTGCTATTTACGAATCTCCATTTCGGTTATCCTCTAGTTAAAACCTTACATATGTGTGTGTTTTGTGCCTTAAGCTTTTGAATCAATCTCATCTAGGGTTCTATAGAGTTAAGTTAGATTCTTCCTTATGTCCATTCCTTTTTTATAGCTTAATGTCTATAAGATTCCTTATCGAAATCCATTATTGGCTTTTGGTATCAGTGTTTTGAGTAATTGGGAATTTAAGGAGAGATGAACAATAATAGTGGAGGGATGCAAGATGCTTTGAGCATTGATGAGAAAGAAGATTTAGGAGACAAAGATGAAGTCATGATCCGTCGAATGAAGAACAGGGAAAGGCAACGTAGGTATAGAGCGAGGAAGCGGATGCGTGAAGAAGCAGGTATCGATGAAAATCTTTCATTTGAGATCATGGGACAAGAAGAAGAAGAAGAAGAAGAAGAAGAGGAGGAGGAACTAGAGTGTAATAATGGTTATGTTGAGAACTTTGTGCGGCGTGTTTATTGCGATAGAGATTGGAAAAAAGAAGCTAGGAGAGCTCATTTGATAATGGAAAAGGCTGGAGATGGTTCTTGTGTATTGGTTAAGCGGAAGCTTTGGCCGCGTCGAAGAGATTGGAAAGCTGAAGCTAGAAAGAAGAAAACTTGATAAAAGCCTGCAGATTTCATGAGGACTAGTCGGTTTTGCTTAGAGGATCTTGCAAGGGTTAAATGTAAGCAGTTTCATTTAAGACTGGATTTGATTGAAGAAGATAAAGCACAAATGAAACATCTTTTGAGATTACCATCTTTTCAATATTTTGTTTCTTCTTGTTGTAGATATTGGAAATGATAAAAGAGTGGTCTTGCTATTTGCTTGTCTGTGTATTTGAAAATCCATACTTTATGGGAAACATAGGATACCAAATTACTAATGTTTTATGTGTGTATCAACAAAGTTCTTTATCTTAAATGAGTTGTTGGATAATCTCACGCATCTTTTTATGGCTAATGTTGTCATTCAGTTTCTCCTATAATTTAATTGCTTTGTAAAATTTTTGTATAAGTCTTCGATGATTGAATTTTATTGCGATCATCTCAATATTGTTATATCAATTCAATTTTCTTAATTTTGGATGAAGCTGTTAGAAATTTTATTGAAATCATCTCAATACTATGAGAGCACTGAGATCAAAAGTGAAGAAAAAAAGAATTAAAATTGAGATACTGATGCAAGATTATTTGAGTTTTGGTACAAAACTTTATATCACACATAATTTAATTAATGCTTTTCAACAATATTTTATAGTCTTTTCCATTATGTTCTTACTTTGTATAGTTGATCATTATTACTTTAGGTTCGCATACATTGTAAAAACGGCTAATTTTAGCTTATGATGCTGATTTAACAGGTGACGAGGATGATTTAACATCGCTAAGTGCATACATTATTGTCTATTATGAACAACAAGTAATCTCATGATATTTTAAAAAGCAAAAGAAAACCACTCGTTCTTCAACCCAAACATAATATCGTTCGGTCGCAGTCACTGCACCAAAAATTTGGTAGCTTGTGTCTCTTCTATTAGAGTTTTGCGTTTCCTTGCTTTCAACCCCAATGATCGTTTTGATGATTACATCAGAATTACATACCTTTGTGCCAATCCAATTTCCATTTCCATTCTAGCATGAAACAAATTGTTCTATACTATCATTTTTTTATTCTGAAATAAATTTCAAAGTGGCAATCTTAGACTCTATTTTATAAAATATTTCAGCCCTTAAATTTCAAAATATTTCTCTAAACTAGTGGTAAAAATTATAAAAGGCTTCTTTCAATAGGTCATGACTTGAAAACTTAATATGTAAAACAGTCCAATATTATTAGCTTTCGGTCATCTTGCGGTCACTAAAACTCATGATGGGCTCTGTTTGTATATACTATCTCTAAAACCAGTGCTTGGAACAGAACTTATCTAAACAAACATTTGATCATTTAAAAAGCACAAATAATTGATATTGGATCAAGACATCGCAACGAATAGTCAAGTCAGCATATTAAGCCATATTCGGAAATTTGTAATGAGTTTACTAACTAAGATTTGTATATAAATATATCAACTGCTTAGTAACCAACACATTAGTTATATATATATATATATATATATATATACGTTACACATGAGAGATACAACACCAATACATGTCGCTCTATGTTTGCACTTTTATTATATATTGGCCCCCAACAGTCAAATACCTCAACTTCAAAGATGGGTTCTGAGGCATTTCATTCTTTTTTTTAGATGTTACCATGTCTTTGGCAAAAATCACAGCTTGAAACCATACTTTGTGCATCCTTGAATATGGATGACCACCAAAACCCTGATTGGAATATCTTAGCAACAGTTTTGAAATCTCCTAGATGCCCTCCATATGCTGAGCCGTGACATAGATCCGCAATGGCTTTAGGCGAACTAAAAAAAATAACCCTAATAAAAAAAATATATAAAATATCATTTTAAACGTACATAAAAGTAATAACTGAGACTATAAAAACTTTAAAGCATAATTTTCCTCTAATTTGCAGGATTATAAAAATCAACATTTCTATGATACATACTCTTTAAATTCAGCATTGTTATCATCTTTTTGCTTATTCTCATTCTCATCATCAGCTACCTCTACATTCTCATCCTAATGTGCATTCTCATCTTCTTTCTCATTCACAAATTCAATCTTCCAATTCATTCCTATCTCCGCAATCAACCATATTTTCATGAGACACCATCAACATTTTGAGGATGTTCAATTCCATCATATTTATCACTAACAATATTAGTTCTTTTCACAACCTGAGCAGAGAACTTTGCTGAGATTTAATTAACTCCTCGTCTGTTTTCTTCTGTTCTCTGTTTACCAATCTAGGAGTGTGTCTTCTTATTGGCATGGAGGCATCTTCTGAAATTTATGGAAAAAGACAATTATGCTATGTCTAACCAATTAAACTTGCAACACAATTCAAATTTTTTAAAACTCAAATTCAAACATACTCGAGTCTAAATATGACGGTAGTATGAAGAAGATGCAATGTAACGTTTTGGCCGATTTGATGAATTTAGCCACAAATCAGACGGCTTTGTAAATTGTTTATTTCTAGGTTTTGTTTTCTTTAGTTTAAACTTTGTTGACTTTTTTTAATTTTGCTACCGATTTATTATAAATTTTAGTTAGTTGTTTTTTTTAATTGTTCTTTTTTATTGGTCTCTTCATTCATTTATATTCATAAAAATAAATATTAATAACAATAATATTAGTATATGAGCTTCTGTTAAAGAAAGAATCCAATAATATTTACCTCAATAACTATATATACATGAACCTAGTTAAGAAAATAATAATCTTAATTTTTTAAAAAAAATTTGGTGGCTTTAAGCTAATGCATTACTCCCAAAAGGTAAGGCACGGTACTGCATATTGGAAATGATGAAGCAAACTCAAGTGGTCTTGCTCTTTGTCTCGTGTATTAGACGTTATTGGAATCGTAGTATACAAATGTTTTGTGTGTATCTTATTGATTAGCTTTGAGTTAAGAAACTCTTTTATCTTAATGAGATGTTCTTGGACGTATCTCAAGAAAATCTCTTTCTAAAAATCTTAGGATAATTGAATTTTATTGCAATCATCTCATTATTGTTAGAGCAGTGAGATACAGATATAAACTCATAAAATAAAATTGAGATATAGATATTAACTCTTTTCTTTTGAATCAGATAAATCATATCTAAAACTAGGTGTTTAGCCCGCGACTTGCGCGGGCCAAAAAGTTTCATCGAAACCTAAAATAAAATTTTATGTCATAAATCAAAAAATAATTAGATCAAAAATTTGATACATACAAAATTAAAATAAAGCTAATCTATGAAAGTAATCATTGTTTAATATTAAAAACTTTAAAATCAATACTAATAAGTATATAAAATCAATAAACACAAACTAAAATAAGATTAATATGAATTATTCATCTTTTTCTTTTTTTATCTTTTAATTTTATTTTTCTCTATCATTTTCTTCTTTCTTTCTTTTTTTTGTTTTTTTTTGTTTTTTTTTCTTCTTTATTTTCTATGTCTTTTTTTAATTTTTATTCTACTGGTTTTCTTTTTTCACGTCTTCTTCTTCTTCTCCACATCTTTTCCTTTCTCCTCTCATACATCTTTTGATTTTCTTCTCTTTTTTATTCCTTTTCTTCTTCTTCTTCAATGTATTATTATTCTCTTTCTTCTTCTTTTTTTTCTTTTCCTTTTTCATTGCCATCGTCTTCTTTGTTATCACCGACTTCCTATTATTCTAGTGTTTTTCGGCTTTTACATCATCTTCATATTCTTCTACTTTCTCCAATTCCTCATCTTTTAAGGTTTTCATCCAATTTTTTTCTCTTCCTTATCTTCTTCTTCCTCTACTTTGTCTTCTATTTTATTTTATTTTTCTCCTTCAACAGATTCTTATTCCTCTTCTTCCAATTATTTTTACTCTCTCCAAATTCTTCATCATATTTTAAAGATCTTTGTCTTATCTGTCTTTTTACTCCTCTCATGGTTTATATTTTCCCTTTTTTATTTTTTTCCTTAAATTTTTGAGTTCTTTTTTATCGTTATTTGTTTTCAAATTGTTCTTCTTTATTGTCTTCATCTTTTTTTACTTCTTATTCATCTGATTTGTCTTCGTTTTTTTATCATATTTACCTTTTTCTACTTTGTCTTCTTCATCTTCTAGTTTCTTCCATTTTATTATTATTTTC